GGTTTCAGCTTCAGAGTTGCTTTCGCCGTCGTGCATCGTCCGAGACCAGGTTCAAATACATTTGCGAATTTCTTCTTCAGGTTGGCAACTAGGGCGTCTCTGAAGGCAATTTCGCGGTCCACGATGATTGTTTGATGGATTTGATACTTCTGACTGCTCTGTAAAGGTCTGGAAGTTGTTTGATCCACGGCATTCCAAAAACGTTGCAGTCGTCTTCGGTGACGAAGCATGTTCCACGTCCAGGGAATAGTTTTCCAGATGAGTTGCTTACCGTGAAGTCGGTCTCGAAGCATCCACGGAACTTCAGAGGGGATCCGTTTGCTGTGTATCCAACAACATCTGTTTTCTGCAAAATGGGCATTCCGACCAGTTTCCATTTGGCTTCAGAGATAATGGTGATCTCAGCGCCGGTATCAAGTAGAAGCTGCGTCGGATAACCATTTATGTTTACATCTAGCTGCGGGTGGTTGTCCCTTTGAGAGCGGCTATGACATTTTCAATCTTACGTTTCCGGCGATGGTGGGCGGTCGTTCCACGTTGTGATCTCGCCTCCTTCCGGCTAGATTGGTAAGGGAACGCACCTTTCCGATATTTCTGCTCTTTCAGATGCTTGAACTTCTTGTTTCGGAAGTTTCTTCTGTGACGGATAAGGTTGACCGCTGACTCATGTGACGGATAAGGTTGACCGCTGGCTCACCTTCGAGCATACGAGAGTCCTCCTTGTATGACTTGATCAGCTGACACTCCGCTGTGAGGTCCTCCAAAAGTCTGGCCCTTGGAATCCAGTGACGTAGAATAGGCACTGTATGCCGTCAAAGTCGATGGTATCCAGCTTGGCCTCCGTACACTTCGTCTTCACCAGGAGCTCGTAGTTGTTGAACTCTTGGCCTTCATACCTCATCTTGAAGCATTCGAAACGGCGACGGAATAGTGTCTTAGCCGATCCGAATTGACGTTCCAGCATTTCCAGGACTTCGCTCCATGACAGTTCCGACGGCTGTTTGGGCGAAATGGCTGCGGTCAGCATTCGATGACAGTCTTCATCCAGGCGCGAAACCAGTAGTCTCGTTCTGTCCTTTTCGTCGAGGTCATTGCACTCGTTTTCGAACAGGTCCTGATATCGCTTGAACCACATGTCGAAAGTGCGGTCTCTGTCGGGATCGTAGTTGAACGGCTCGATTCGGCGATAGAGCGAGTCGAAAATAACGTGCTTGTCCTTGTTGACGAGTGGACTGCCGGCGGCTGACATCTTCTCCATGAGCTTGACGAGTGCTGCTCCTTGTTCATCCATTCTGCGTGACTGGATGTCGAGCTGCTTCTGGATAGCTTGGAGGAGTGCAGGGAGTGCTTCCATTGTTGAGTCCTTGTGGTTCTTCTGATCGCCACTGTTGTAATCCTTGTAGTGTATGCAGAACGCGTACGACGAGGATGAAGGAGTTTATTCTGAGCACGATGAGCAATAACAGAATGAACCATACTCAATGACTGGTCTTATATACGGCCGCTGTAGGATATAGGACGGCCGCCCAGGAAGGATTCTGTCAACGTTACTTACAGAATAAAATCGGTGATCGAGTTCATATCGAAAACGGAACTGGAGATCGATATTACCGATGATTGCTCTGTTGATTGATGATCTCTTCGAAAAAAAGAAGAACCGGTTTGAAAGTTTGTTCAGAGTGGTTCTCCGATAAGTTCCAATCACGTCATCGGAACTGGTAAAGTGGATTGATCGCCTGTCTAGTAGTAGTAGTATTCAAATCCTTGATCTTGAAACACTTCTATTATTCCTGAAGAAGACGACTGCGTCTAACAGTTGAGCCAAAAATAAAAATTCCACCTAAAAACCTTGAGATATTATAAGAGAAGAAGAGGGACTGGAGCACGTTGCGGGACTTTATTTCCGGCTTAGTAGTTTTTCTTACTCAACACAAAACTTTTAACGGTGTCTACCATCAACTCTTAACTCAATAAAATCGGATTCGATTGTGTTGTATTCAGTGGAACCTGAGAAGCTGGCAGTTTTGGCGGGATAAGACCTGTCACAGCTGGCTGCGCACTCCGCCTTATTTACATACATATTTCACTTTCTTTTTAGTTGATCCGAAATATACATAAAATACGTTATTTTCAAGGACATGAAGCGAGGAAAATTTGACGAAGGAGAGGCGACGTTGCGTTTGAAGCTCACTCTTGAAGAGGGTAAAGTTGATCCTGTAGCGTATCGTATTAAGTATGTGCCACATCACAGGACGGGAAACCAATGGTACATGCTTGTTTCAAGTTTCGTTTTGGGCAGCGTTCAGACCGCGACGGCAGCGCTTCAGTCGCGCGATTCGATGCGCATCGATGCGCATGCTTTCGACTGCATCGATCGCGCGACCGAAGCGCTGCCGTCGCGAAGTCTGAACGCTGCCTCAACGGTAGTCCTGCAATTAAGTGTTCAGACAACTAGTGTGATAAGTTTTATTTTCTAGGTGTATTTATCCAACATACGACTACACGCATTGCCTTTGCGATTCAATTGAGAATATTACCCATTCTCTATGTACAAAGGAGTTTCAGTCAAGGTATTCATTCGATATTCCTGAAACAGTAGCCAATGCAGTTGATACCCCTGTCTTGATTCTTGCCCTGTTCGATTACTTGATCTCATGTTGTATACAAGTTGCAGACGGAGTTCCTATTATGCTCTATGTAACATGTTGGACATCTACTGCCCGGTTCAGTGGGAATACGGCAGGTTGAATATGAACTACACTGTGGTATCAAAACGGAAAATCTTGAAGCTTATTGACTCCGGAATTGTGAAGTATGTTACTATTAACTGTGAGAAAGATTACAGTTCTGTAAAGCAGGACAAAGGGATTGAGTATGCGGTGTTGATTGAATCCTTTGAAATCCGTCCCACATTCGCCTTTGACTGAGTATCTCTGATGGCCCTAAACGTGTGTTTTGGCCCATACAATAGTCAAGTCTGGAGTATATTAGATGTTAACCTATCCTACCGAAAAGACATTTTGCAGGCCAGAAAGTCGAACCTGCAAGTTGGACCCATGCCTTGGGCGAAGTGGACTGGCCCGCAGCAATAGGAGCGTGCCACTCCCACCTTTCGAAGGAGGACCGAAGGGTAGTGATGGCCAGATGATGTTCCAGATTCACCCGCTTCCACAACATTCGGCACTTGCGTCGCTATCAAGGCCAAGCTGCCATTCTGATGGACGTACACAAAGGAAGAAAACAACCAAAGGAAGGGCACTGGCTCGATCGACTATAGGGAGGCATATGCCTGGTCGGGGACAGGTAGCGCGTCTGTGGGTTTAGTTTATGGGTAGAGTCCGAAACACCACCTAGCTTTCACTACGCTTCACCCTCGTTCTGACACACTTTCCATAGATGAAAGTGGCTTCTGCAGTTGCTAACACAATGAGCGAGCAGATGGCTAGGATTTGGTCCCCGAAAGTGAATGTACAGCTTGTCATAGAACCAGTAAACGAGCAGTCAATCCGCAGATTTTCCCTGAAATATTTTATCTGTGAAAAGATTTTTCTTGCAGTGGTGGAAGGAAATCCGAAAAATTCCTAGAAGTGCCTTTCTCGACTCGTTCTAGGGTTTTTCCTACCCTAGGTCTACTAGTTAGTGTAGCATCCATTTCAGGCAGCCGTGGTGCTGTTTTGCAGGCCGGGGAGAAATGCAAGTTTTGGCCCTACTTAGCGCGATTCATACGACCACAATGACGCGCCCTTTTCGCACTTTCTCTATCCTTTAGAGCACCGGACCTTGCACGCGTGAGCATACAGAAGCGATTGATCACCGTGTACCATTTTTATCCACTTTTACGAAATCACTTTACATTCATATGTGTTATCCTTTTACTTACAAATACCCTGTTCAAGAGATTGGGATGATCCGCGACTATTCACACTTGCTGCTTTACGTCGTCGTGGGATCCCGCCCGAGGCGATCAACGCATTTGTGGCTAAGTTGGGTTTGACGATGACCCAGATGGTGATCGACCCTCATGCTCTGGACGCCACTGTTCGAGACCATTTGAACGTCAATGCTCCAAGGTAATGGACAAACTAATATAGAATTTCTCCATTGAGGTATTTCCTGTCCATGCCCATAATTTCTTATTATATAGAATTCTCATTTTCTATAAAATTAATCTCAAATAGTTGCATGGTTTCCACCGTACTTGTTTCTTCAGAATAGATAGTTGTGCAAAAACAGATGCGCACTAGTTCAATACTGGTCACAATGGGTACCGTTGTGTGGTCTGGATAGTTCCTGAGGAAGCCATTCCACTCAGGGCACATCATTGGTTGGGAATTCTAGTCGAGTCCGTACGACCCCTCCCCCCTCCTTTTTTGGGGGGTTGGTACGACCCTCCCGCCGGCTCTCTGTCCCTCCTCGAGCGGGGGAGGAGGGAGGGGAGGAGGGGGATAGTACGCATGAAAAAGGAAAATAGAACCAACCAACCGCTCCTACAACGCCAAAACATAAATACGACCCCCGCCCTCCCAACAATGACCAAGTACGACCCCCCCCCCTTTACAACGTCCGTGAAGCGAGAAAAATCAACTATCAAAATAAATTTTTCTCAGCCCAAATACGACCCCCCTCTCCTGGCGGCCAAATACGACCCCCCTATTGGGGATTCCCCGACAATGATGCGCCCCAATTCCGCTACAAAGCGAAGCTCCATTCTTGGAACAGAAACAGTCACCGTTTTTTTTCCGATATTTCTCCGTAGAAAAGTGAGATTTCTAGTTAAAGACACATGGTACGCTCAAACACATTGAGGGTGTATGAGACTATCAGCCCCCCAGCTGTCGATGTGTCGTGGTCCCCCCGCCCAAACATGCCCAGGAATGGAGATACAGGACCGTGAAACACGCTAATTCCTCCATGCTCCGCCTTACACCTTTTTGCGGCGCAGATTCCCGTCCTTCATAACATCCGTCGTAAGCGCGCGTGTCGCGTGCGGCTCCTTGGCACTTTGCCAAGTCCTTTAATTGCGCTTTCAAATACAAGTAAAACGCAATTTCCTGATGCGGATAACATTGGAGGTGCTGCAAAATAAGAACAGAAGATGATGACGAGGGTCAGAACTTAAAAGCAACTGTGCCACTTCTGCAACATCCCTCGGAGGCCGCGTATTTCCACGAAACATGAAAATAAAAACGGCATACTCGTTAGTTTGATACAAGCAAAACGCAATTTCCTGATGCGAATAAAATTTTAGGTGTTGCTCATGCTTCAAAATCCATGTACAAGGAGATGAAGATGACACAGGCTAGAAATGAAGCACAACGATGTAAATGTAAATAAAACAAAAATGAAAAAATCAAGGAAAGGCAAATTAGTTAAAATCGCCTGTAAATTTCTACGATCCGGCGCCAAAGCCATAGAAATACTTAGAACAAACGAGTGGGACGCTTGGGTTGTTTTTATTCTCATGTTTTGTGGGAATGCGCGGCCTCTGATGGATACTGCAGATGCAGCCGAGTTGCTCTTGAGTTCTGGCCCTCGTCATCATCTTCTGTTCTTATT